TGGGAGCAGTGAGAGCCACGATGTAAAAGGCTTAGATTATGTTGTATTACTGTATAAAAATGCCCCATCTGAGCCCTGAATCCAAAATGGAGAAAAGCTTTGTCCTTTTTTCTAAATGAATGTCTGATTCCACACACAAGGCAACAACATCTTCAATAAACGCACACCTTGCTTAAAGGTGTCATAGAATGCAAAACTGAGCTTCCATTGTCATAGATGAATAACGATAGTTCAATGGGTGAAATGGATGAACAGAGAAGGTAAAACCCAATCAACACCTCCTTTCTCTGCAAATCTCACAATTCTAAACTTCCATCATAAAACGGGCAAATTCAAACGAAGTGCCGAACTGACGTAAACTCTGGAATTTTGCCTTATTTGGTATGAGGTGTTGACTGCTGGGCTGCTGACTAGACCGGACCTCAGCAGAGAGCCATTGCCCGTCCTCAGCCAGAGGAGGGGGGCTGGGGCTGGTAAGCCAGGCGGGGGGGAAGCATGGGGCCGCCTGTATTCAGGCTACCGTCACCAGGTCGGGTTCAATCGCTCCGTCCCCCGCTGGCTCCCTGCCCCCGTCCGCCGGGGTTCTCGGCCCAGCTGGCTGCTCGGTTCGAATGCCAGGTGTGTTTCGACTACGTACGGCAAAAAGGGGACGTCTGGTCACCCTACCATATCAACAATTTGATGTTTCAGTGAGTGAGTCCTTGTTGCTATGATGCGTCTTTGCTTCACTCGTTGTAAACCAACCAATCAGAGCACAGCTCATCTAAATATTCATGAGCATACCATAAAAGGAAGAAAACATGTCGTTTTATTCTATCTTTTAACCAGGCTTGCATTAGGGTTAATAGAACAGAATATGCCATTTTCAGACCAACCAATGTTACACCCCCTATTCAGAGACCTTAAGGACCAGCACCACATACCCTATAGAATCATTCTATGACCCCTTTAAAGTAGCTAAATGTCTGCAGGCTTGTTTCGCTCCTCCTAACTAGCTTCATCCTTGTTCCGATGTGACACTTTGACTGAAAGTGGTCATTATGTGCATTCTTACACATCCAGTCCATTGTGTGCTGACAAAACCTGCAGAAAAGTTGCTCTCCAGATTCATTCAGTTTGTTAGGATGTTGTGTTGCATTTTTTTGAAGTACTTTAGTGGTTGTGCATCTTTCTCATGAGCTACTTAATGTTCATTGTGGAGAAAAGAGCCCTCCATAGACAACCAGGTAATGGCGAATACAGGAGCTGGTAGGGGACAGAATACCTCACAGAGGACTAAATTCAGCCCAAATAAGCAATTTCCATGAGATTCTACTTTTTGCACAAGATTACATTTTATTATATCTATCAGCCTGTTCAGTCATTCATCAGCTGGAACAGCTGTCATTTGACTTTTAAAGTGTGCTACCTGTTTCCCTTCAACTCCGCTTTTGTCTATTATTATCAAAAACTTTCATTAGACCTTATTAAGTCAATACTGTGCCGGTCTAGTTATTGGCTACATAGACGTTTCTGGAATCAGAATCTAAATCAGGATCAACTTTAATCGGAAGGATTATCCCTAAAAACAAGAGTTTCTCATTTTGGTCTCATTAAAGACATTTTACCACAGAATTCAAACTAACAATATTTTTCTTGTAAGTATGTATTCATACATTTTTGAGCAGAGAGGGTTGGATTGATGCAAATAGGCTGGCATCAATCTGGGACCTCTGTTGATAGAAGGCCTAATATACAAACTAAATCTAAAGACTATATAACCAAATAAGGACATTCGCAGACCTTTGCTGGGTCAAACTAAGGAAGTGGAGGATGGTCGGAAATAGACATTTACACTGGAAAAAAATCTAAATCTAGATAAGTCATTTTTTTCCTAAAATAAGTGCATTTGTTCTTGGATTGAGGAGTTAAAAGAGACATTTTGCCAATGGAACAAGACAATTAACACTTAAAATAAGAAAACACAATTGCATTATCTTGTTTTAAGTGCATGTTATCTTATTTTAAGAGTAAAAATACTCATGCCATTAGCAAACTATCTAATTTACCTACTCAAATTAAGAGTAAATACATTTAATTTAAGACATTTTTTACTTATTTCTATATCGTTTTTCCAGTGTAACAAAAATTAGCACTCTACAGAAGGAAAGTTCGATTACACTGCAAAAACGATCTCAAAATGAGTAAAAATGTCTTAAATTAAGTGTATTTGCCCTTAATTTGAGCAGGTTAATAAGACGATTTGCTTATGGAGTTAGTGTTTTTACTCTTAAAATAAGCTATCTAGATAAATATGCACTTGAAATAAGACAATGCAATTGTTTTTTTCTTGTTTAAAGTGTAAATTGTCTTGTTCCATTGGCAAAGTGTTTCACTTCAATCCTTATTTCAAGAAAAAAATACACTGATTTTAAGAAAAAAAGGACTTATTTAGATTTTATTTTTTTGCAGTGTATATTTCAAAACATGTTTTTTTTTTATCTCTTCAATACTCAACGCATCCCTTCCAATTACGCACGTTGAATGATGAGGTGTTCTAGTGACTAGCAGATATTTTCCTTCCTGAGGAATTGGCAACAGCTTTCTGGAGGCTTGCTGGTCTCTTCCACAATCAAAACAACACACGATGAAAATGACACACCGCAGGAGAACACGCGCCCAAACATGAACCTTTCGCAGCGGAGACTGTTTGCCCTATGTCTGTTAACTCAATGCCTTTGGCTGACACAGAGCAAACAGCAGGCCTTCAGTCTCTCACTCCAGATTGCCTGCATCGTGTCAGATTCACTACGTTATACGTCCCCCCCCCCGCCTCCCGCTTGTTGTGGTGCCACGAGACTCAATCAAAGCTTGATTAGGTGCTTGTTTCCCAACATGTTTCATTAATTGAGATGAGTGAAGAAAGCAGCGTAGCAGAGTGAGAGGCAACAGAGAGGGTTGCATGCAGAGCTTTAGATAACCAGATCAAGCTTGCCTGAACTCCTCAAGAACTGATATCAGCCAAATATAGTTTCTGTTGAAAGTACGCCTTTTTATATCACAGCTCTGACTGTTTGGCAACCTTTCGTGCAGCTGCACCAACGTGAGGATTTAACAGAAGGTCTCACCAAAGTCACACAGCTTGAGGACGTCATCAGAACTGATGAGGAGATTTTCTGGCTTTATGTCTGCAGAGAAAGAAAACAGACCAGGCGTAAGCTGGTGGGGATTTTCACATTAAAACATTGCTTCTGCCATCACAGAAGTGTCTCTTTCAAAAGAAAAATTGCATTTTTTTTTATGTCATTGTTAAAAATTCTGCAAGTAAAAATGCACAGATTGCAGTCTGGGTAAACTACAGGCCTTTGGATGCCTTTTCTGTTACTTAATTGCGCCAAAGGCTCACATGGGCCATCTGGTTTCCTGATCTGCTGCCAGGGATTCACCAAAGGCTTCGTTTGTGAACGCCGCCATAATCAGCTAACCTTTTCAAACTAGACCTCACTGAGAAAATACAATCTGCTCTAAAATGAGCAGCTTGCTTTTAGGAGCATCTTTCAGCCTGGAGGGTCTTTAGCTGCCAGGGTCAACCTCTTATCCTCTGTTAGAAGTTTAAATGAAGTGTAATGTTTACCTCTGTGAACAATGTCATGCTTATGGCACCAGTGAATGGCTTTGATCAACTGGAAGATGTAGCTGCGCACTTTGTCGGTCGGGACACCGGTGGGTAACTCCTCGAGTAGCTCAAGCATGTTCTGACATAGAGCAATAAAGACATCAGGACAGATTAGATGGGCCTTTACATATAAAATCCTTGTTTAATTAGCAGAAACTTACCTTCTCCACATACTCAAAGACCAGATACAGCTTCCCTCTTCTGCGGAAGGCCTCTTTGAGCTCAACGATATTCTCCTGCTTGAGGGTACGGAGCATCTTGAGCTCCCGTAGCGTTGTTTCTTTAACTTCTTCATTTTCTGCATCAGGGAAAGAACGAGAGGAAATAAATCTGCTGTTAAAGCAGAGCTACCATGCAAAGGATAAGTAGGCCATTAAAGCCAAATAAAACAAAGAGGAGGGACTGAAACATCTTACCTTCACTGTCTTTGAATTTCTTAATAGCAACAATTTCATTGGTTTCCTGTAGTAAAAAGAGAAGGCAATTACATCAACGAGGGTTTGAATAAAAAAGAAATAGAGCAACATAGTTAGTTTTTTTATTACTAACATTTGTTTTATTAAATGTAATGATGCATGTAAAGAGAAATACACAGAAAACTATCTGCTGTAGTGCGTAAACTGCTTTAAACTCAAAAGGTCGCATACATGAATTGGGCGCCGCCACTGTAACTTAAAGGAAAATTCCGGTTTTTAACACTTTAAGCCCATTTTCTGTAGTGTCCAGGATGAAATCGAATGATCGACACCAAAATTTTGACGATTGGTCCTGTCTCTGCTTTTGGCTCATGCAGAATCCCCCCCTGGCTGCTTTAGAATGGCTTCCATAGTGCATGTCCGATAAT